TTGCTGTGTAACGATCGTCGGAAAAAACAATATAAATAATTTTAACGTTCTATATATGAGTATTATTTTTAGTGCACTTTCACTTTCACTTTCAAAAAATAGAAAGTGCACTTTTGCTCTCCTTATATGTCTGTCTGTCTGTCTGAGTCATAAGGGCAGCGGAACTACACCACTTACCGACTTGGTATTGGTGTCATTCGATTAGAAATTAAAAATGATTTCATGTTTGTATTGTATATGCATGAAATGTCTATAAGGGCTATTGTAATCGAAAAAACAAATTTGAAAGTGCACTCTTCGGCTCTTACTCACTAGCGTAAGGAAATTTTTCTTTTTAATTTTACAGTATTTGTATCTAACACATGACATTGGGCACAGCATGTTAACACACTTTACAGTTTGCACCATAGTTTATTTGGTTCTCTTACCATACTTATTTAATTAACTAACGTGTAGTGATTATTGTATTGTTTTGTTTTGTTTTAGTGCACTCTAAATACCGGTCAAATATTGTTCATTGTTAGATAGATAGATAGATACTTTATTCTTTACCAGAGAGGTGTTTCAAAAAATTTACAAACATTATTAACAAGCGTAAACAAACAACAAGAAAATATAAATATACAACTACAGTTAAAAATTAATAAATACTAAACTACGCAAACTCACTCATTCCTGGAAAACATCAAAGAATTCCTTTAAAGAATAAAAAACAAAGGAATTAAGTCGCATTCTTAGCGTTTTTTTAAACAAATCAAGTGAAGAAATTGACCTTATACCCGACAAACTACACATTCGAAAATAAATAAGTTATATACAGTTGGTATTTTTAATTTCATAAAATGGGGACGACACGAGTCTCGAGGCCCTATTCGAACTATAACACGAATGGCTCTCTTTTGCAGCTTGAAAATATTTATGACAAATAAACATAAACATAAATAAACATTATGTCGCTTTGAGGAAACAAACAGACAATAAACACAAATGAAAGTATGTCTGTAAAGAGTGCACTGCAAAAAGGAAATTCAAAATTAGTAAACATTTATACGGAGATTTATGGTTTTAAAACTAGAACGGCTTTCACGATCATTCAAAGAGTGTGCAAAGGTGCGAATGTCTATGAAGCTCAATCCACTCAAAGTTGCTAGTCGCTTAGAACAAGAATTATGTCAACGGCCAGATCTTTCCATCCCCTGCAACAACGGCATAAGTGTAAATCTGTCAGAAATGTAGCCTCTATCCACTTGCCACTTGCAATCCAATTATATGTAATGTGCGTGAAGATAAATAATATAAAGGACTCTGAACTAGAAAGCAATTGTACGAGGAAATGAAGGTGGTGGTGAAATGAATATACCTAATAAACTCTACCTCAGTTACGTAAACAAACGGACAGCCAAGGTAGAATTATGGCCACCAAATTTCAAAACTCATTACCGCGTAATAGGTTTTCTGTCTGTCGCTTCTTCAAACCGAATGCGCGTTTTGAACATGTGCTGCCGATTTCAACAAAAATGATCCCGTCATCATAATTCGTATAACGCAGCTAATTTGCGACATTTATAACAAATAGGTACATTATAAAAAAGCAAACTGTTAGGAACGTAATACGCAAGTGTGTAATCTGTCAACGTTTTACTAATATCCCTGTGGAAGTGGAAGTTGGTGTCCCTCCGAAGGAACGAGTGATAAATGGAGATCCCTTTACTACTACTGGGATTGATTTCACTGGTCCAGTATTCCTGAAGGGAAAAGAGAAAGCTTGGATCGTGGTATATACTTGTGCAGTTTATCGTTGCATTCACTTGGATTATGTCTTAGCTTTGGATACTGGAACATTTTTAAATTCTCTGGAAACCATATTTTCTGACAATGGAACTAATTTTGTGCGGGCGAACAACCTTTTCAAGAAGTTAGATTGGAACAAAATTGAAAAGGAAACTGGTACAAAGAAAATTGGAACAAAATTGAAAAGGAAACTGGTACAAAGAAAATTATTTGGAAATTTAATGTTTAAACTGGAGCCTGGTGGGGCGGATTTTGGGAACGATTAATACGTTCTATTAAAGATTTAATGAAAAGGATCATTGGTAGAGCTAAACTGAATCGGAAGGAATTACGAAATTGTTTAGTTGCTATAGAATCTTTGCTATGTTGGGTGTTATTTAAGTACTTTATTTACATATCATACTAAAGCTACATTTCGATGATACCAACAGGTTCGAGCTACTAACTTAGTCAAACTAAACTAACTATATAGTCAGGGAGACATTTCTGAAAAATGCACGTCTAACGGCGTTTTGTGCTACAAACTGGCAACAGGCGGTTCTAGACTAATTGGTCCCCGCTGAAAACGATGCGCCCTGTTGCCAGATCCGATTTTGGCATTTAAGCCCTTAAAGCGAAGATAGCGGGCGAAATGACCGTTTTTCGGTTATTTCGAGCCCACAAGGCACGCCACTGAATGTTTTGGGTAGTTTAAGGGTAGAATACCATCTAGTACACACGTGGACATCGTTTAGGCACACTTTCGTATTCATATTAGGGGCCTAAATGCCAAAACTCCGTTTAAAAACGTAAAAAATGCAAAAATTCGTCATTTTTTTTTCTGGCCGGTTGTCGGCGTCCAATATGTATTCATATGGTAGAGTTAACATTTAAGTATTTGGGGACCTCCAGCAGCGCCATATGCCTGGGGCCTAAATATCAAGATGGCGCTTGGAAAGTCCAAAAAACAGTGAAAAAGTCGTTCTTTTTTCCGTTTCCGTTTACTACACTGGCCACACATTCCCCATTTCGATGGCCTGGAGCAATAATACGCGAATTGCGAATATCATTCTGGATGTTACACAACTGAAGGGCTTAACTGCGGAAGTGGGACTTCCCAAGTTTCCTTTTGATTTTTAATTAACAACGTAAACACGTGGCAGTCGAAACTTGTTTAGAATATTGAGCACTAAACTATGAAGAAGGTATTATGCAGATAAGAACGTTTACAGAGTTAAACCGTTGTTCTTGAAGCACTGGACGTTTTCTCTCTGCGATTGTTTTGGCATATTACACATAGACTACTGTAAAATCACCACAGAGTATGATTTTCATGCTGCATGCCCTAGGGAAAACGAAACAGTCAAATGGAAGTCGATCCACCGCGAAGAAGACTGAGCCACCATTCTGAATAGAGCATCTTCATGCGTTAGAATTGTAATGTGATATCATGTTAAATTTAGTATGAACGAGCTTAATGTTAATGTAAATCTTAGGTGAGAGTCGTTAAATCCCAGGTTATATCCCAAAAAAGACACATTCCATACTATTTTAATCTCGATTTTAATGAACAAATTGGGTAAAAGCCGCGGACTAGTTTCGACAAACGGTCATCTTCTGGCTTAAGGAAATTACAGAATAACATTGTTCAAAATGCTTAGTATACAATTGCAAATTTGAAAGGCCGCAGGGGAAAAACGATGATAATTATACATAACATTAAAAATATCTTCATGATGTAATCTTAGTTCCATTGATGTTAAAATTAATTGACTTTAATATTAAATGAAATATCGTGCATAGTGGAGACGCACGAAGCGACACAGACGAAAACTTACAGGGCGGCGCCGACGAAGATGCACAACAACACGCGAGTGACTGATTGACGTTTCGCGAATCCGTTCGGTTGTTGATGATAATTCCACCCCCTTCTCGTGGGGGGTGACAGTCGCAATACTGATAATAATGTTCGAGAACACCAAGATGAACAGCGAACGTAAGAGTGGCCAGTGTTAGTAAAATACGGCAAATAGAACGACTTTTCACTGTTTTTGGACTTTCCAGGCGCTATCTTGATATTAGTCCCAGGCAATATGGCGCTGCTGTAGGTCCCCACATACTTAAATGTTAACTTGACCATATGAATTGCATATTGGACGCCGACAACCGGTTCAGAAAGAATAAAAAGTGATGATGCTAGCTTTGACGTTTTTAAGCGGAGTTTGCATTTAGGCCCCTAATATGAATACCAAAGTGTGCCTAACGGTGTCGTCGTGTGTACTAGATGTTATTTCTACCCCTAAACTACCCAAAAGTTCAGTGGCTGCCTTGTGGGATTCGAAATAATCGAAAAAAACGGCAATTTTGACCGCCATCTTAGATTTAAGGGCTTAGATGTCAAATTGGTTCTGGCAACAATGCGCATCGTTTTCAGCGGGGGCAAATTTAGTCTAGCTAGAACCGCCTGTTGCCAGTTTGTAGCACAAAACAATTGGTACTTTAGTAATGTTTACTGTGTGTTTTTGTTTTGACAAGTCGTGCATTTTTAACAAAATCGCTCACATCCTTACTAAGACCTGGCCAAAAGTAATATTTTTGTATATTATTTTCATTCGCTGCACTCCAGCATGTCCACTTGTAGGAGTAAATGAAAATCGTTTAATATGCATTTTTTTGTATCGTTATTTATGATTCTAAGTACACCCCTAATTAATACGTATGAGAGGACCGGTCCAATTTTTTTTATTGTCAATTACGCTTTTTAGCAATTTTATAAAATCAACATTTTCCTCGTTTCTAATGATAGCTATCTCTTTAATATTCATTTCCTTTCAAAATTCTATTAATTCTCTCAACAATACGTCTCGCGTGCTTGTCGATCGAGATTTTTGTAATACATAAATTGTTGATATTTCCGGAACATAACATAAATTTTTACTACTTGAATACAAGGTAGTTTTATCTCCCACTTGAAATTTATTTGCATTTACAAGAACTAATTCTGTGCTTTCTTTTGGAATTTTAAAACTTCCGCAATATTCGGTTGATCAGGCCGATTTGCTGAATCTCCTAACTTATTATCGTCTTGATTTGCATTGTTATTTTGCAGCACTTTACTTTTAGCGCGTGTTAACACTGTAATTAACTGAGCGTGCATATTTTTAAGTTCATCCGAGGTTATTATAATACGTGATAATGCGTCCGCACTTACATTATTACTTCCTTTTACGTATTCAATTCGAAAATCAAATTCCTCAAGGTGTAATCTAAATTTTGTCAAACGACTAGATGGACTAGTATGATTAAATAAGTAAATTAACGGTTTGTGATCTGTCAAAATTTTAAATCTTCTTCCAAACAAATAAGGTCTAAAATACTTTATAGCCCACACAACAGCTAATAATTCTTTTTCTGTCGTAGGGTACAATATTTCACTTTTATTGAGAGGGCGGCTAATGTAAGCTACTGCTTTTTCATTATTATTTAATAAAACTGCACCGATTGCTAAACCCGAAGCATCGGTTTGTAATATAAATTCGTTTTCGTCTGAGAAATCTGGATAATCTAGTACAGGTGGAGTTATTAATGAATTTCTTAAATAATCAAAGGATTGCTGACACTCATTGGACCACTCAAAATGAGAATACTTTCGACATAATTTGTTTAATGGCAGCGCTATGCTTGCAAAATTTGGTACATATTTCCGGTAATAGTTGGCGAATGCAACAAACCTTTTTACTTCGATTGAATTCTTTGGAATGGGATATTCCTGTAGTGTTTTAATTTTTTCTGGATCGGGTAAAATACCATTTGCGGATATAACGTGACCTAAGTATAATATTTCTTTTCTTAAAAATTACATTTGGAAGGATTTAATTTTAAATTAACATTCCTATCTAACACTTTAAGTAAATTTTTATTATGATCTTGTAAATTTCTACCAAAAATTCTTAAATCGTCTAAATATACAAAACATCGCTCATAATTTAACCCCGAATTTTGGGTTACCACCACAAAAGGACTGCAGTGCTCATGTTTTCCAGAAGGGAAGGAAGCTACTGCAAGCGATTTACGTATTCAACGTAAGAAGATACTGGAGATCCAGAAAGCTATACAAGATCGTTTCAGAAAGGAATATCTTTCGATTCTTGTCTCAACAAAACATATAAAAGGCAAAGAAAATTTGAAAGTGGGAACGCTAGTACTTGTTGGGGATAATATAAAGGAAAGGTTCGAATAGCTACTTGGAAAAATTTTCCCAAGTCATGTCGACGGAGTTGTACGAGCGGCTGAAGTGAAAACGAAAAATGGATTATTAAAGCGTCCTGTTGAGCGTCTTGACCCGCTAGAGATGTCTGAAGAAGTGAGATCTAAGTTCAAACCAGAAGTGAGTCACATCGCATTTGATTCAGTCAATTTTAGGTTTGAATGAAGTATCAAAAGAAGCTGCTGAAGAGGAGGAATCCGTTATTACACGTCATGGACGAAAGCCGAATCGTTACGGGCAGTGGAATCGGTAATTCGGTAATAAATGTATTTATAGTAATGTAATTTTCTAGTATAAAATTAGCGGGAGTTTGTAGAATGTATAGACAGATAGAAATTGTGAACGTCTTGTCACGTCATATTAGATTGAAATCTTATAAAATAAACTTTTAAAGATTTTAAAGTCTCGTCATAGTTTGTCTGGCAATCACTATTAGATAAGTTTAAGAACAAATTAACGTAGTCGCGATAGTGGTTTTTATCTCGTTACGTAACTTAACCATAAATAAGTTTTGACACTTAGAATGGCGCTTAAATTAAACGTTTTTTTAGAGGAAGCTTTTACTCCTGGTCCATTATTACTAGCGATTTTATACCGCTAGATTTTTTGGCTATACTGTTAAATAAACTTTCACTGACAACGAAAGTGAAAGTCAGTTGGCGCACCTGTGAATGCCCATAAGGGCGTAAAACAGCGCATAATTTGCGCCCAATTATGCATTCGATTAAATCAATTCAGTCAACCTCAGTGAAAAAATAGAAGTAAAAATACTTACTTAAAAACAAACTGCAATATTTTTTAATCTTTCACTGTTTAATTGTGGCAATTCCTACAAAGTTTGGAGATTGTATTGCAGTTATCAGTATTGCATCATCACCAACCGAAATGGTTATCTTCTGGGACCGCACCAATTTTGTGAAACGTATGAGCTGTCACTCAGCTAAACCACTTCTTCAGCCGTTAACCGTCTATAACTGTGATGGTCTCAGTGGGAGGCAGCCCAAAATCCACCCACCTGCTCTTGCACTGGTATAGGGTCGTTTACACCTTGAGAGATAAATGAAAAACTGAAAAAATATACTTAACTAACCATCATTAACAGTGTGCCCTACTCTTCCGAATTTTTCTACACTAAACTTTTTGAAAATGTTTTCTTCGCAGATTTTCTGCGGCGATCCGACGCTGGCATGGTTTCGATGGAACATTTTTACTCGGTGGGGACAGGAATATGATCCGACAAAGGTGTTGTACTCTCGACCGAGTTTGACCGTTTTTGTTTGGATTTTGCGCGCACGCTTTAGCAAAAAAAAAGAAACAAACACCGCGACTTTTGGAACCCCTCGGTAGTAGAAATGCATAGACGCCCAAAGCTTTTGTTTGGTTACCTATTCCTTTCTGGGTTACCTTTCTGAATCTCGCCCCACCCTCTTAAAACCATAAACTTTAGATGAGAAACGTAGTAACTAACAGGAATGAATATGACCAACCTATATTTGCTAAAATTACTAGTTTGATGTAAAAAAAAAGAAAGATTTTAGTGGTAGTGCACGACAATTAGTCTATGCAGCTTCTAATTTCCTTCAGCTTGACGAGGAAATGGGCGCTGATCGCGTTGGGGTAACGTACCGACCGAAGGAGGGTACCAATTGTCTTGGATGTACTGAGAAACGTAACTCGATGGTGAGTTCTAACCTTTGCTTGTTGCAGCTTGTATGCGTTAATATCATTTTTCTTCAATTTACTCGATTATAGTTTGACTTTATTATTTCATGACCGAACGCGTTAAAGGTCGACTTGTGTTCATTTGTCCTATGTTAACAGTACTCGGTGAGTATGGCCGACGAGGCGAGAGATAATCACGAGCAACAGATCGAGCGAGCGGAAATTGCGAACCTGGTCAGATCGCGCATGGAAAGTCTTAATCTACCACCGATGGATTACAACGATGTCAGTGAGAAACGGAACAGCCTATCTTACGTTATCATAAACCCCAGCTGCGATTTGAAGTTAGAAGAAGGAGACATCATGTAAGTTTTCCATTCTACCTTCTCTTTTCCTTGTTGTAACTATACTGGCGTGTCGTCGTCTACTTTTTCATTTTCCTTACCCTCTTCGTCTATTTCTTTTCTGATTTTACTCATCCTTTCTACCTCTTTTTATCTACCAAATGATCTTTCTCACCACATAATCTGCGCTACCTTTTTTCTCGCAACCTGCTGTGATTTTAAATTGTTCTTTTCGATATTTCCACTCCAAATATACCTTATCAATAAAAGTAGATCAAAGTTTCAAAATCCAAAGTACATAACTTTGTCACTCTTATCACTCTGACCGGAGATAATTTTTCCGGCTACGGGTTCGCTACATTCCTCCCAATCCGCCCGCATATAATTCAGCAACAAATGAATACTCTTCATTGCACCTTTTTGATAAAGTTTCGTTTCAGATATTTAGTAAGACCGAGCCCATTCTCAGCGCAGAAAACATTCGAAAGGCACAACAGCCGAAGAAAGTCAAACATCAGCTTCTGCTCCCAGACGCTGCTGCAGCAGATGGCCGGATTGGGTAGTAGGCGAGGTTCCGGTCTCGGACTTACCTCATTCCAGCCGTCGAGACCGCCGCCGCTCGCCACCACGAAGTCCAACTCGCTCTCGTTGCCCGACAGTCCGACGGTCGCCGGCTATCAGCGCGGCAGATCGAACTCGTTACGTGTAATTGACGACATTCTGCTCAGGAGATCGAACTCTCTCCGACAGGGGTTGACGAATATAGGTGTTAGAAGAAAAAGTAGCCTGGAAGATATAGGACTTTCGCATTTTTCGTCCGCGCCGTACTATAGCAATTACAATAATCCAATCAAGATTGCTTTGAACGGTAGTATCGGGTTAGAGGTGACTCCGCCGGAGGAGAACAGTCCGCCGGTGATATCTACGAATACGGCTTTAGTTGTAAATCCGCCGCCACCGAGCGGATTGCTAAGTAAAACGGGCAGCACGATGAGTTTGTCCCAGGGCGTTCTGCCCGCGGTGCAACCTTTCAGTTTAGGCATTAACCCGCCGCCAAGCCCGCCCCCTTACGGCGAATCTGCATGCGCTCAACAGACGGGTTTACCGGTGCCGCCGGCCTCGACGGATCCGCAGCACCTTCAGGGAACCATAGTATGATATAACCTCATGTGGGGGAGGAGGCTGAGTGGCTTACGCAACAAGTGGCTCTAACTCTTCACTTCCACACAGATAGCTCTGCCACTTGAGCGAAGTGTGCCATTTGGGGCAGAGCTATTTAGCTGTAAATTTACCATATTTGGCCTTATAAAAAAAGTGTACATCAGAACTCTAGACTGATATTTAAATCTTTATATCTTTGTAACCAGACGAGAGAGTAGTGGAAAAAAAGATATTCTGTCGGTGACTCCCGTTTTGTTTTCAAATTTCAGGCCTTCTCGCATGAACTCGTGTCATTAGCTCAATAGTTATAGTTTTGACCGTTCCAAATTCTTCCATACTGGCCTGTACCAACAAAATAAAGAGATATTGTTCAGATGTTGAATGTGGGATCAAATATTGTAGATAATTTTAGTGTGCCCTTTACTTAGTAATGTAAAAAATTAATCTTTGGTGCTGGGTCGGAGCATTGACTAAGTGCATCCTACCATCGGGTGACTGTGTCCCAAATGTCTAAAAACTCGACCACGCAAATTCAAGATAACCAAATAGAATTTGTGCGCTACTTTTCATAAAAATAAGGATAAATCTTTTTTTTTCAATTCTTCACTGGTTAAGTTTGTGCCAAGAACAACCACACAGTCAGTCGAGTGGTAGGAATACCAAAAGCTTCGCCCAAACCAATCGCGCTATTTACAGAGTAGATACGTAACCTAAATTGAAGTACATAATTCGTGATACGGTTCCATTTTTTGGACCGCGCATTTTGATGTCAAAGCTTGGTATTCATGTTATTTATGACCCGTTTTGCGCAACTTTCCATTTTTGTACGTAAATAAAAAAAAAGGGATGCGTCGGTTTATAATAATCAAAATTGTTGAGAGAAAAAAGGCCAATTTAAGTAGTAGTCGCCGCTTTATGGGTAGCTTAGCGTAATACCGTCCATGCTGTTTTTAGTGTGTACATATCGAATCACGTGTATAGTTGTCACTATTTCTATACTGTAACCCCTCTAGCTAAAGACTGCAGTGGAGAGGTCCAAATGAAAACGCGCGGTTCACTTATTTTATATATATTTAAAAAGAACATATCCGAAAATAAGTGACTATAGTTACTATATTTTTCTAGGCAAAAAATAAAGTGGTTGAGATCGGATAGATATCTTCAAGACCAATGCTTTGGTACTATTGCTTTATTTAATCATGACATAGAGTATATAACGAGATGAGTATAGATTAAAGAGTTTATCAGTCAACAGATGCCATTTAGGTCAAACGGCTCGGTTTGTGCATGACTTGTTGCAATATGTTGTAAATATGTTGTTCATTGTTTTTGCTTAAAGATAATTAAATTATAGTAAAATAAATTATAGCCGTTATGATGTACATTGCTAATAAAGGCAACATGTATGATTTTTATAAAGTTGTTTTATTTCTTCATTTTTGTAACAGACTGTAACAGGGACGCCAACAGGCAATGTGAAGAACTTCATCCATTTAAGGGTATGAAGTGCTAACGTCACACGCACTCAACGTGTATTATTCTGCCTGTTCGATTGCGCGCAATTGATAGTTCTGCAGTAGACGCGCGGTTACGGTGTGACCGTTCATCTGCGCCAGTAGATAGGGGTACGGTTGTAGGTTGGGCGAGGCGCCTTTCTTCAGCAGCCATCGTACAAGGTTGGTATGCCCGAAGTTCGCTGCCAGATGAATCGGCGCGATGCCCTTGTCGTTGGTGGCGTTCACGTCGCAGCCGGCATAGTAGAGCGCGCGAATGCAGGTGGCGTCCTCTTTGTACGGGCACTCGATGTGATGGAACACCGCCAGGTAAAAGGGGGATTCGCCTTTCACCGATTTAACTGACACGTCACCCCCTGCAAATCAACAGATTTTTAAAACGTATGTTACTGGATGCGAGGTGCTCGTTACGAACCGAATTGAATCATGACGTTGACCAGTTGGGTCGAACCTTTCCGACTGGCGCGCTGAAAAGAAAATAGTTTTAAATGTATGCTCAATACGCTATAGAGACAAGCAATCAGAGCTGGGCAGAATACTTTAAAAAAAGTATTTGAATACTAAATAGTAAATACTTTACACAAATCAAAGGTATTTGAATACTAAATACTTTTACGTCCAGCACAAGCGAATACTAGATACCGATACATTGAAAAGTATTCAAATACTTTCAAAAGTATTCTAATAATATCAAAGGTATTCGAATACTTGTCACTCAAATATATTAAAAATTTAAAATAAAATTTCTTATAGAATGTGGCCTGTAGAATCCATAATTTCAAACAGTTCCAAGATGGGGCTACTAGTTTAAAAGTTACAGCGCTTTGAATTTTCTTTCGAAATTGGTTTCTAAGAAGTCCATAACTTTTGATTGAGAAGTCTAATCGAAAAAGTACGAATTGTCTTGGATTCTACGCACCAAAATTAATAAGAAAAAGTGTTTTCCCGAGAAATTTTGGTGTAGTCGATTTTTGGTAAAAAAGGAAGGTTATACACTGCCTTTTTTTGAAGCCCGCAAAAAAAATTGTCTCAAATCGATCCGGAAAAAAAATGTTCTTATAGAATGTGGCCTGAAGGATTTGAATACTAAAAAGTATTTACAAAATCGAATACTGCCCAGCTCTGCAAGCAATTATATTAGAAAGGAAAACTTCTTAAAAGCAAAATTCCATACAGTCCCATGATCACCTCCTGTTCCTGTTGATGTAATGATGGGGGAAATAAAAAAGATTTCTGTAAAAATTAAAGTTATTTGTTTGTAGGTAATTCAAACCACAGATAGGTATTATACTTTGTTTCAATAACAGTTTATAAATATAATTAATACAAAAAAAATGTTTTTATTACTAATTAAATCAATCTGAGCAAATTAGGAGAAAGAAAATCGTATTAACAGTTTCCTGTAGAGTACAAAATAATTTTGGAAGGAGGAGGGGGGGCAAAATATGTAGATCCGGCCCTGTACACATTGAACGGCTCTTACAGTCTCCGGGAGCAATAGAGACATGCCCGACATGTGGCCGGTAAAAACCTGTACCCAATAAAGGTCAGCAGCTATGCCAATAATGAATAATATAAATAAATTTCTAGTACAGCCTACAAAATATTCACTCGTCACAGTGAACAACCCCTTGTACGGTTTAGGGAGAACAACAAATATAAGTACCATAAAAGCGGAGTATCCATCAACGGGATGCAGGCGGTTAATAGCACCTGGACACTTCTGTATAAGTCGAATAGCTTCCACTACGTTGTTTTCCTACAAGAAAATCAATAGGATTCGTTTATATGAGCTACAACTTACAAAAACAGCTCCATGAAGTTTGTTAAAGTCGGAATACACACAGCGTCTGCACCAAACACCTACAGCAACAAATAAAACAACGAGAACTAAACTTAACACGATAATTTCACACATATTATCCGAGAGGCAATCTACAATCAGGTATGAACACGTTTATTGTTTAAATATCCAAAAAAAAAACGCACAGAAAATATAATTCAAACACAAATTCTGTTTGAAATTCGAAAACACAAATACCATTAGATCAAAATCCCGTATTTTAAACATTCACTCTGGAATCATGTCGATGCTCAATTCTTCTCCTATATTACTCGGTGATGTTTCAAGGTCCCCAAGATCGTGATTCGACTCGCTGAAATCGCAACAATAAACAGAAAGCGCTTAAAGTTCGATCTACCTGTCGAGAGAGGGCTCGTTGCTGAACATCTCCGTCGGTACGGTTAAAGGTGCACGTTCCGGAACCAACTCCATGTAGCTCTGACGCGACTGCAAGTGCCTCTCCACCTCCTCGGGTGTCATGTGACCATCAGATAAATTACTGGACGATATCGGCACGGGAATCTGCAACTGATCGATACTTTAAATCTACACACTCGGTGCAAGCCTTCACCATGGGATGATTTAACTGTTGCTTAACCGGTCGTGCAACTGTCGGCCTCTTTCGTTTCACAGAACTTAACACTTTACTGTAACTGCTCGAGCCGTTTCCCGTCTCAATTCGTCTCCTACAAAAAGAACCTACAGTCAGCCCCGAAACAGCATTAGACTAACTTTTTCAACGGCTCCACTCTAACTGCATCCTGATCGTCAGATGATTCGGTTTCGTCGCTCTCCGAGCTTGAGTCGATTTTCTCGTGTTGTAACAGACGATCTAGGAGGAAGTTGCGGTCTCGTGTCACGGTCAGTAGGCGTTTCTGTGCTGCTCGTAGAGCTACCCGAAACGCTTCATTCTCCTAAAAATGATCAATTACGTAGGGAAACTTCGGCGGTGGATGCTACAAACGTAAATGAGGTGCCTGAACTTTCGTTTTAGAAACTTGTATTGTTTTTTACACTTTGACTCTTCGTTTGCCTGCTCTTCTTCTTCGGCGGCTGCAGCCTCGTTTGCCATTGAACGACAGTACCATCCATCCAGCATTTTCTTTGTATTGTTAAATCACACACAACCAACAGACACCAACAACAAAAACAATCAATATTCAAAACGACATTTTAAGAAATGGGAAAATTTAAGCAATGGGAATCGACGTTGCCGGATTTCTATTAAATTCTCACTTCTACATTCCTTATAGCTTGCGCGACAATTGCGCCATTAAACAAGAACTAGCTGTGTACATTCTCGTGGATCCTTGGAATATTCGAGAGAAATTGTGTTTTAAAAATTTAGCAACGAAAGAGTTCCCAATTATTTATTATCAAATTTTTCAGAATTCGATTATGAACAAGGAAGCCGTGAAATGTGAATTTTGTAATGGTAAGTAATGGTATATATCAAAACAAATACACAGTTAACTCAATCTTCTAATTGCATATCACAAATTATGATTCAATTTCTAGCCTACTCGTACAACTTTACACAACTCGCTGACATTCCCTTACATCGATGACGCTTTAAAACGGCCTTAATATTCGACCACAAACAATGTTTTCCGATGTGTCGTGCTTTGATAAATGACGATTCCAATTTTTCTTACTATTTGTGACATTATCGGCAGACTGCACGTAACATCCTTGAATGTGGCATGTTATGCTTATCGTCAGTGCCGTAATTACACTGATCACAAACCAAATTTTTGAGAAAGTTGTGTGTTAAAAGGTGGCGCTTTAAGCCAAGGGTCTTCAACCTTTTGTAGTGCAAAGGCCAAAAATCGATTTCACATCGTCCGAAGGGCCACAATGCCGTACTGTCACTTTACCATCATTTCAATAAAATAAAAAATTATAATTTCAAAGTGCAATCAATGCGATTTTTGATACTGTTTATTTTTGACGCGTGTGTCGATATTTGTTTTTATTTTTGTAGTTGCAACCCGCAGTTTACCTTCAATATGTGATCAGGTGTAGTATTATCTCTGATATCGCGTTCAGTGGCGGCAATAGGAGTTCGGCCGCCATTTTGCGTCAAAAGTTGGCAACACACAATACACGTAGGCATGTGTGATGTACACCGCGGTGGTTGCGTTACACATATTGTGAACGACTATTTTCTAAACGTTTTAGCGATATGAAAACTAAATATGAATATGAATTTGGTTGTTTCTAGTAAGAAACAAACCCCTACAAGTATTATGAGAACATCTTTCCTTTTTAGATGAAAATTTATAACAATTGGACTGAATATCAGAATTAAGAACATTTATTCAATGTAAAATTTTGAATATCTTTGCAGGTGAAGAAAATGAAAAGACAGAAGAACGGATTATTACACTTATTAAATAAAACACAAAATTCCTCTCCAATCAATTTATTACAAAATAATTGGTCTAAGCAAAACACGTATAATTATCATTTTCGCTACCATTGAGTAAGTAATTGAAAACACTTTTTGATCATCCCACAGGTCACAGATCAGTGGGTTCAGCACCATATCTTTCAACTTCCACAGCTCCGCCTTAGAGGATGGTCCAGATTCCATCAACTGCTTTCTGAAAACCATCCTTTCAATTGATCGTCTTACTCTGCCTCGTCAACATAATCTCTTCGCTGAATCCAACTCATAGAAATTGTTCGATGGGCTATTGCACTGCGAGTCGAATATGGTATCGCGTTTCACAACAATATCCTCAATTGCTGCCCCATTGTCACACATATTAGGTTCCGCCACGTTCGTTTTCAGCTATTTTTCGATGCCTTTGTCCTCCAATGCTAATTGCACGCGGAAATACAATTAGGTACTGAATTCACGGCCATTGAAACACATTTTTCATCCCCAGACGCTGCCATTTGACTACAGAAGTCGCTAATGTCAGGCTGTCATCTGTCATGATACTATTTCTTGTAGGAATATCATGGCACCTGTACTTCAAATTTGTAAACCAGTGACGTTTATAGAAGCGCGGGAATGCGCGTGACATATCTATTACCGGAAACACGTGACATTTGACGCAAAATGGCGGCCGATCTCAACGACCAATCAAAAATTAGACACTCTATTGTCGCCACTGTCTCTATAAAGTCACTGTAGCCACCGATGGCCACCGATTAGCCAACGACACCTGCCGACGGATAATTTATTACTCTGAATCAAGAAGCTGTAAAGTTAATTGGTTTGGTTCTGCTCGTAGTTTTTCCCCAGTGTTACCAACTGTAAGCATATATGATGCCGTTCGATGGTTTGGGCCTTTGGGGGACCCTTAAGGTCATTACTATACAGAGAAGAATGTTACATTCAATTCTTTTTGCTCCTGTATCCGTCGAGAACTATCAGCACTACAACACGGAGCGATAAGTCATTCCAATTCAATGCGTTTTAAATGTTGTATTCTTTTGTACGTGCGTTTTTTTAAATAAAATATTTACACAAAAATTAAGTGTAGAAAATGATGGTAGTTTGTATAACATTTGGAATTGTATAAAAACTAGTCATACCGTTACAATTTTTATACAAGTATACTATAACCTCACATATCAGTCAATTCAAAAACTGTCGTTAGAAGTTTGGACAACTATGAATGACTTGATGAATGCTCTATCTAAATCAAAGACTGATGTTGACAGTCTACATAAGACAATATCCAAGTGTAAAGCTGAGGTAATAAGTTATATTGAGGATGTTTACGTGAAGTACACCGAGTGGCCACAGTGCAATCAGAAATTACTAAAGAAGGTGAAGGAGGTTTTAGATAATGTAAATGTAGTTAAAGAAAGATTCGAGTCAGTTACACTTGGCGATTTGTCTGCACAGCAGGAGCAAGTAGACACTCTACAACGTGAATTGCACAACTGTCAAATTTCTACTTCGTGCACGATATCGTTAATGGAAATACATGAGAAGCTTTTAAACTTAAAGGATGGTAAAATGAAAGACAATATCATTCAGGCAGCTTCTGAATTGGTGCACGTGGGGACCTTGATAATGAACCTCCCGGGTCAAGAGTTATTAGATGTTGTACCTTCATTAAAATCAACTGTGGCGTTTGAGAAAACCGAATTGGCATACGCAGTCACCGTAATGCTGGAGGAGATGATCGTTATTAAGGAAGCCAAAGCTGGACGTATGCAAACCTACACGATGAAGATAGACAAAAACACTTCTCAACTGCGAGACATCATCAACACTCTCCGCATACTCAACCAGTTACAGTCACCTCTCGATAACTTTCGTCAGTCTTTTTGGACATGCATCTGTAAACCGATACTTACCAGCATGACTCTGATACGTACAGACGACGAGGGCGACTTTCACACTCTCACAATTGTCGTGAAACAAACGGCTCCGGTGAAATCGTACAAGGACGTACTCGACAAGCTCCTGCAGGTATTTTCCTTTGTTCGTACGCATTTCGATTACGAAATAACGGACGGGTATAAGTTGCACACGTTTCTCGGAAATGGGGTAGAAGTCGAATTATCGCAGATGTTACTTCGCGACATTTTGCCTCATTCGGATGCAATCAAAAGTGATAGTAAGCAAATCGTCGACGACGCTAGAAACTTTCAAAATGAACTGGTGAAACTGGAAACGTTCGCCGAAGCCAATGCGATTTTGGAGTACGTCGACGGCGTGGACGCGATGCTCGTTAACGAAAAGTGCAATCAGTACACAGTCGAGGCGATCACAATCATGAAGAAAGATCTGCACGATATGGTCGAAGTCGGTGTACACTTTGACGCCGATAATCCTCTCACCGGAGACCAATTCCCTCAGTGCACCATATCCAAGAGCACACTGGAGTTGCTCGACAAGGCGGAGAAGGTACTGCTACAGTCACTAACCGACCCACCTGCAATGGCCACTCGCACCATATGCGCAATGCAAAGCATATTTTATCAGGTAAGTAATGTATGATAGCAATGGTGTCAATGTCCGTGGCAGTGACGCACTGGGGTAGCATCACGGTTGGTGGTGCTCTCACTCTTAAGAGCCATATACTAATGCAATGTTATTATTATTATTATTAGTAATAAAATATGTGTCAATGTAAGGAAAATCCTAAGCACTCGACATCATAGTTCGCAAATATATTATGTGTACGATAAAATATATACAGTAATATACAGGGAGATTCACGTAACTCGTTCGATAAAGGTTTTTAAACTTGCAGAAATAGAAACTTGAAATTTGGTTCGCAGCCATAATCGACTACCTATTGCGAATTGAAATGAAATTAAAAACTGGAAGATGGCGCTGCTTCCGTAAATACCAAAAGTTGGCGCCATCTTGGTTTTTTAAATAGACAGCATTTTTTAAATGCGCCATATTATTCCGAATTCCGCGCATTTAAGATTTTCGTACCTATCTATCATAGTTTTTGACATATGTCAATTATTGCAAGGGTCCATTAAAAAAAAACCGTTTGCTGGTTTATTGTTTCCTATGATAGTAACGCCGCAGAGCAATTAATATTATTATTTTCAGTACGGAAGTATCGTTTACGGCCACCACGAGAAGTTACTGCAAACCATTCCGCAGCAGGTCGTCCTCTACCGTAACAACTGCATGTACTTGGCCCATCGGCTGTCGCAACTCAACGACCTTTACAGTTCGCGTTTCCCACCGGAAGTGCTACCGATACCGCCGCTCTTCAAGGACCAGTCCCATCAGCTGCGCACCGTTGGCGGCGACATCTTTTTGGGCTACGTCGAGACGCACATACAGGCGATGGAACGGACGCTCTCCGAGTACAAGTTCGAACCTCACCAGCTGTCGGAGAACATGTCACCCGACATAGACAAATGTTTCAGACAGTGCCTGCGCCAGTACGAGCTGCTGAAGACGGTCTGGCAGAAGGTGCTACCGCATGCGGTTTACAATAAGACGATCGGTTACCTCGTCAATGCGTTCTGCAAGAGGTTGCTCGGTACCGTGTTGGAAGCGCCCGATATAAGTGTGAAAAATTGCGAGCTACTCGTGGATTTGTACAAGATCGTTTTAACACGCGCTCCGCGTTTGTTTACCGATTCGGAAGAAATTAATCTGTACGTCGATCTTTGGCAGAGATTGAACGAACTTGTCTTTGTGCTCACCGCGGATTTAGTTTCGATCGAAGATAGATGGAAGAACGGCCCTCTTAGCACGCGCTTTTCACCGGACGAGGTTAGACATTTGATTAAAGCTTTGTTTCAGACTACTGATCGGCGTGCGCATGTGTTAAGCCAAATTGTTAGTGTAAATAAGTTCTAGGTTTGTGTTAAAAGCACGTTTCTAGAAAGTTGCAATGGAGGAGCTGAGGGTTAACTATACGAAGGTTTTTCCAAAAGTTGGATATGTGCGGATCTTTATAAACATGAACGTAAAACAATGCTTTCTAATATGTTCTATTCAACACGACTCGGCCGGTAAACTTTGAACTCGACCGGCCGAGTTGGAGCGGAAACTAGTGTGTGCGTTTTTATGATTAAAATTAAAAGATATGGAGAGCCGAGGAGTTAAAAGACTTCCTTGCCCGTAATCTGTTTTCAAAACAGAAATACATTTAGAATCTGCGTCAAAACAGGTCAGATCGGCATTAATAAGACGAATTTCTCTTGCAAATATGGCGTTTATGAAGTCTATTAATGCGAAATTTTATCTTACAATTTACATTAGAAGCTTTGATCGCATACTATTAGTGCATAATCACTTAAAGGTCCTATTTCACATTGGTTTTTATCGAAAGAGTCGGTTGGTGGTTTGCGCAGTTCAATTGATTTTTAATTAACTACGTTTACACTGCATGAACGTAGTGGATTGGTTCGATCCGGTTGAAATATGCGACATAAACGTTGCGGGGGGGTTGAAATTCGATCGGATATAATACTTCAACTCAATCCGGCAAACTTCTGTAATGAAGGGGCGGAAAGGAACACAACTCGCCTTTTATTATTAACGATCGTAAAGGGTGACATCAGGCTGACTGGTGTTAGGATTTGGTCCTATGTCGATCCATGCCTCTCACTGCTCTCCTTGCGAATACACCTGCAGATCAAGGTCACCCCGAACTTTTGTTAACAATGAGGCGTATTGGCATGACCTAGTCGAGCGAATAGGTCACTCAGCGATACGCGTACGCGCCAATCTCGCACGCCAGTGGGGCTCCAAGAGTTTATAGCTTAAAATTTAAACGTTCCAGTTCGACATGCTTTCCCACATTTAAATCGAAAAACGTCAACTTTCACGCGGGATTAACACGCCGGGTGGAGTTTCAGAATTTCTAAAATCTTTCTAAACGGTTTTAGTGTTTTTTTGATCTACAGAAGATGTATAGACGTAACAGAGAACGAAAATTGAAAGTGGCGCTCTGCATGGCAGTGGCGTATCCAGGAAATAAAAAAAATTGGGTCAAAAAATGGGTGGTAGAGATGGTATCTTGAGTCTTGAGTCATATTGCACAGTGCACAGTTTGCGACAGAACTTTTAGTTTAAACAAAACCGACACTCTTTTACCGCGCGATAAACCTACAGGAACAAACACTCTCCAAACTTGCGCGCTTACATCGATCTACACTGACGTTCTTTCACATGCGCTATTTTGAATGTCGGGCAGGGCTGAAATACAGAGGTCGGAATGTTGATGAAAAACACCATTCCCATCCCTAACATACGAGTACGTTTAATTTTACATGAAAAAATTATCTTCAGATACATAATCTTGTTTGCAACCAACAGGAGTGCTGAATCCCGGGACGCGAATTTCCGAACTCCATCCTTATTCAGCGCACCGCTTTGCCGTGTAGAGCCATTCAAGCACCAAAAAATCCATGAAACTACTTTTGGGTGATACACGCCAAAGGTTTCAAAGATTTTAAGCACAAATTTTGCATTTGTGGACTCTAAAGATGCCAGATTTGCAATAAAAATTGGATAACTGTGCTCTTCACCAGAAATGTTCACTAGTATCATTCATTTTAAGAAGGTAGCGGTAAAAAGCATAGGGAAGCTTTGTGATTGGTTAAAACACGAGTCAGTATTACAATGAAACATAAAACGATTGTTGAATTTTGCAAGTTGGTAGTTTATGTTGCCAACTAAATTGCCGAAGTGTCATTAGTTGTTATTGTGAAAGATTTATTTCTGTTCGCAGTGCTGAATATTTCTAATTTAATTTGGTGCCGTTTTATATTTTTCCTGTGTGTCTTCAAACACAGCGCCATCTTATAATGAATGCAGTATAGTATGACATTTGAGCGTCCACAAAAAATTGCTTCTCGAAAATGAACAAATGAATAAGTAATGCTTCAGAAATCAAGGACACAGCTTAATTGAAGGTCCTCTGCGATGGGCTCGCATAGCCGCTATACCGCCGCAAGATGTTAATTTTTCTTAATAATTTTGGGCGATTTGGTACAGTATGGCATTTAGATTTTCCGAAAGTTCATGCTTCATTTTGATCCACAACAAAATGTCGCTTATTCTCTGCTACTGAAGTGGAATAATTTCATTCCAACTCTTGTGATGGAATGAGCACATGTAGCGACATCTATTACAGGACCTTCTAAATGACAAACTGTCAACATTTTAATAATTACGCTTGAGCCGGCACACAGTTTTAAATTTTAAGTACCTGTAGCGTACATTTACCGAATGTGTACTTTAACCAGTAATAAGTAGATGTATATTTTCGATTACTAAATAGAAATGCAACCTTCTTGAAATTCATCAAGCAACTTTGATATTTCTTTCGCATGTGCAGTGGTCATTTAGACAAACGCACAGAATACGGCCTTCTCAGAATAGAAACAGCAATGTTACAAATTTGTATGGTATTTTGGCGGACCCTGGTGGGTGTACTGTGAACTAAAGCATTAAAATCAGAGTAGCGCCATCTGGTGACCAGCTTCTAAATCCATGAAGTAATTTCCCCAATTCGATCTAAATCACAAATATAGATAAAGAATACACAGTTGTTAAATTGCAAGTGTATTTAGATACAATCACATTACATTATTTAACACAGACATCTTAAATTACATGTTTACAAATTACCTATAAAACTCAGAAGTAAGTGCAACTTACGCTTTGTAGAAGTTAACACTTTGCAAAAAGATCCTTACGTAACGAGTTGTCCTACGAAATATTTGGTTTTAATTGCTGTTTGGATTACATATTTTTGTTAAAAAATATCTATAGAACTAATTTTTTTGTTCCAAGAGGTGATAAAACCGTTTCAGCAAATTGTCACACAAGTTTTTGACAACAAATGTTAACTTGATCCTGGTGCTTACTGGTTACTTGAGAAGCGAGGGTGGAAGTTGTTGAATTATCTAAAACGAATTACAATATAAGTATCTACATCTATATAAATATAAAACTCAAGTCTACACCCTTTTGCGCCTATAGGTACAGTTGGTAATAATTCTGCATCAATTTGTACCTGTTACTTACCTTGCATAAATAGGAAAGAAATAACAGCACATTTCAACCCTCTTCGCGTTTCAAGCACAAAACAATCTGTTTCAAAATGTGGGAAAAGATGTCTTTTTGATATTTTATTGTTACAATCCGCCACACAACACTTTTTACGGTCACATAACTTGTTCATATTTTAAATCTTTCAAAAGTCAAAATTGACATGTGTAAAACCTGTGTACGTATAAAATCGACGGTAAAAATATTTCCTGTAACGAGAAAAATTACAGGTTTTGCAAAAAAATATTTGAGTCTGCGATAAATAGTTCTCCGTACAACCACGGGAAACGCTGTAATCAGTGACAATTTAGCGCCATTTATGTTTCTGTTCTGTGAAGGTCTTATTCTGTGGACAAACGTCACTCAAATAAGACACAGGGATCTGTTATACCAACCCATCACAAACAGACAGACATGTCGATTGTCTAAAACGGCTTTGCTTAAAACTACAAAGATTGGCGAATTCAAGTAGTGAAATCATATTGTCGGATTTGTCACAAGAAGATAGCATGATGTCCTCCCAGGAGGACTTCAGCGATTCGGATTTTGATTAGAAGGAAGTACAGTTTTTTTTCCCGTTATTTACTTTTATTTTTATTTAATTTAAAATGGCGTCAAATATGGGTTTAACAATAATTCAGTGGAATGCGCAGTCGGCGGTAGCCAAACGACAAAATCTTGAAAACATGCTATCAGTACACAAAGTAAATATAGCCGTCTTGTCCGAAACTTGGTACAAACCCCACTATACGGATTACGCAGACTTTACATCGCAAATAACTCCCCCTTACATTATAGGCGGAGATTTCAACGCACATAATCAAGCTTAACAGGGCCTTAAAAACTACAAAAAATACAGCTCCTGGGCACGATAATGTTACCTACGACATGACAGCGTATTTGCCAGAGGTGTGTAAGAAATTACTGTTATCGGCGTATAACAATATGTGGTGTGACGGTCCAGAAGTAGCATCCTCCAAAGTAGTTGTGGTGACACCTATTTTAAAGGCCAACAAGAACCCTAACGAATTCAAATCATATCGCCCTATTTCCCTGCTATCGTGTTTGTATAAAACGTTCGAACCACCCAGGCAATACGGATTTCGGAGAAATAAAGGTACCATGGAAGCGTTATCTGACCTAATCACGGAAATTCAGACTAATCTATCACACCAGCATTACACGGGCGGCCTCTTTCTAGACATTAAAGATGCATACAATCACGTTGACCTAGACATACTGGAGGAAAAAATGTGTAAAATCGAGATTCCTAAGAAAGCAGCTGGGATTATCAAACCTGTTCAGAAACAGAACCATATATCTGAAAACACCCAACAATACCCTCTTAGGGCCCAGAACAATAGCGTTAGGACTGCCACAAGGTTCAACGTTAAGTCCTATCGTTTAATGTATATACGCACGACTTCCACGAACAATTTAGAAACAAAGTAACGGTCATACAGTATGCAGATGACATATGCCTATTAGCTGCCGACAAAGAGTTAAATGGCGTTGTTGCCAAGATGTCTATTGCGGTGAGTGAATCAAATAACTGGTTCTTACATACGGCTTTGAAGTGAGCAAAGAAAAGTCTTCTGTAGTGCTGTTTGCTAGACAGAGGAACATTCCTACCGGTTTCATCAGATTGGATAAGGTCGAATATAATCTACGGACGTCTATCAGATATCTGAGATTGATTATCAACAACAAGTTAAAATGGAACGAACACATTAATTACCTCACAATAAAATGCGAAAAGTCATTGAACATACTCAAAGTGTTAACAAAGGTGGGATGGGGTCGTGATATTCATACAGCGCTTTTAATCTATAAAAGTTACATCAGAGCACGTCTTGATTATGGTTGCCTTTTATATGGGAACGCTCCCAAATCTCAACGCCACAAGGGCCAACACTAAGCTGTTTGCTGTTTTGCCATAAATGAAATAGCTCTAGACGTTGATGAGGAAATAGATAAATGTCTATACGTCGATGACCTGATGATTTGCTATTCAGTCGGTGTCATAACCCGCAAACTACA